GTCGAGGGCTTCTTTGCGGGGGACTTCGGGACGGGCGGGTTGGGGTGACGGTGAGGGGATGAGAGGTGCGTAGCCTGGTAGAGGAACTTTTTGAGGAAGAGCTGGTGGGAGACTTTGTAATGATGGTGTGTGTAGAGGTTCTTTTGGCGGAGGAGCAACGGGTTCTTTGGGTGGTCGACTCGGCTGTATTGAAGGTATTGGTGTTTGGCCTTCGTATTCAACGGCCCGTGGTCTCGAGATTGATGGGTAATTGTACGTATGCGACGTCGGTCGGTAATCATCATCAGTCCGTCTCTCCTGCGCCGAATCAAGAGCATGCCTCGTCGCCTCCATCTGCCGCCTCAAATCCTCATCATCCCCAACTCTTGCCCCATCCCACTGATCCCACCTCCCACCTCTTCTTCTCGACATGATATCCTCATCCGTGATCCCCGCCTGTCTCGTAGCCCTCCGCGCAGTATCCCTCCTCATCAATTCCTTCTGCGCAAGATCAACAGCCAGATCCTGGTTGTCAAACGCATCCAGAATCTTGGCATTGCCCGTTAGACTCGGATCGCGCGCTGCAAACTGTTCATATCGCGACGATGGTTCGGGCTCGGCATTCGAAAGCGCCATTCGTTCCCATTCTTTGACGGCATTCTCGATCTCGGGCTTCAGTTGTTCTAGGTCTTGGATGACACGCGGTATGCGTCGCGATAGCACTTTGTACACCTTTTTGTTGTCGGGATCTTTGAACTGTGGATGTGTCGGGATGTACTTGAGGACCAGCACGGAGTGTCGATACAGCATCATGTAAGCTCTTCCGAAATCGCCATCCGAGACTGCAAACGAAGCCTACGCCGTTAGCTGCGCACAAACAAAGATGCAGATAGTAAATGCAACAAACCTCTTGGTACAGCGTCTCAGCCGCACGTGTCCAGTGCTTAACCGGAATGTTTGTGTTGAACTTGAAGTTCTCCGCCTGAGCCACCAGCTCCTTGACGGTCTGCGGCCTGGTCGGCCTCATGGCAATCCTCGAGTCCATGGCGAAACAAAGACGAGTGTGACTTTATCGAGCTGGAAATGACTGTGCTAGAGTCGTCGAGGATTATATCCAGTTCATGGTTCGGGCGCCGCGTGGCTTGTTACTCAAAACAGTTCCAGCGTTTTAGGAGCTGCCTGGTGATGGAATCATTGAGAAAGACGGGTCCTGTGACGACGCACCCGTTGTTCGGTACCTTGATTGATTTGCCCCTCCATGCCCAATGGTGGGGGGGATTCATTTACCCGATACTGATTCCAAAGGGGAGGAGTATGCAAGTAGGCCGAAATGATGAAACGTTCAGCCTCATATCTGTGGCGTCGCAAGCCACTTCTCGAATCATGGAGTAGATGGCGTGTTTAGTTCCTGTGAATCGTACAATTCCATCTCCCATCTGCAATGCAATCCCCACGCTGTCTCACCGAGTCGGATATTCCTTGGAAGTTTCCTCAGTAACTTGAGTGCTTGTCCTTGCATCCCGATATCTTCCGGCTTTTTCTCTTTAGACATCGGGAGAATTCGCCAGCAAAAATACCCAGCAATCAAGGTTTAGGCTCGGGGAAACCGGGTCATGATCCTTGACGAGATACTTCCAGAAGAGGTAACAAGACAGACGACGGAGGAAAGATGCTCATTTTGAGAGAGTGCTTGATCAGGCAAGATCTCATCATGAAGTATAGAATGTGATGTATCTGCCAAGAGAAAGCTATCTCTTGGTCTGCCCCCAAACTTGGCATCATATATCAGCTTCATCATGATCATGCCCGCCACCATGTCGTGTCGGCCAAATACCAGTACACCCCACGGTGAAGGACGGTTATCGGCCCATCTATCCACGCCCATGACACCTCAGGTAAGGGGGGCATTGACCACGGTGTGGCCATGAGGGCCTTTGTTACTGAGGCTGCCAGGATAACATGTCGTATCCTCAACGAGTTGGGCATCTCCTGGCAGAATTTTTATAAGGGGGCTGATGAGGTTAAAAGCCGCTGTATCCCCCAGGTCTTGGATGGTAATAAAGTCTAGCATCATATCTCAATTCAAGCTCATTATTTCTCTCATACTTCTCTATCACTCACTCACTTACATCAAAATGGAGGTCATCAAGAACAACTCTATTGTCTCAAGCGTCGAGATCGACATCGACACCACCCGCAAAAGTAAACACCCTCACTCCCTCCCAAACCTCAACTCAACTAACATCCCCAGCCGCTGTCAACGCTGCAATTGACATCTTCACAATTGACCAAGGGCATGTCACCCTCCCCAACGACCTCTGCCCTCTCGACGCCCTCTCCAGCATTCTCCGCAGCATCTCCTCAGTCTTCGAGCTCGACGTCAGCGCTGATCTCGACCTAACATGCCGCAACATCCTGCACCGCATCCTCCAATCCATCTTCGACACCAACACCCAATCCGTCCTCGAAGAAGACTCCGAGATCTTTGCCCACCTGAGCTCCAAGCAAAAAGCCCGTATCCTCGCACAAGCCATCGCCGCCTTCACTGTAATCTTCCAGCGCTTGGCTCAGACTGGCGAGAAGGTCACGTATGGTGTTCTGAACCGTGAGGTGCAGCTCTTCACGGAGAGTGATCAGCGCCCATTGATGCAGAGTCTCATTGAGGGCGATGCTGTTTTTGAGAATTGTTCTCGCAAGAGCGACGTTGCTGAAGCTATCCTCTCTGCTATCGACGCAGACGAAGACGCTGCGACTCCTCAGCCCGTTGCTGCAGATGACAAGCACGACTTTATGTTCTCCCCCAGCGCAGCTCAAGACCACAAGAACATGGGCGTTCCGTGGGGCTTCAGCATCATGGCGATCAACTAAACCACATCACGAACTTTTAACTTAACGACTGGCGTTTTTTAAGGGACTCTCCGATTAGCGCGGCGCTCATAAAGTGCCAGGTATTTGCATTATAATAATCAGCGTACTGTAGAATATAACTCAACTCATGGTCTATTTTTCTTTCATCTCTCTCGTCATTACTGAGGTGCTTCCTTGCCCTGGCTTTGAGCTGCGGTCTGGATCTGAATGATCTCTGTCTTTTTCTTCTCAAGCTTCTCTTGTGTCTCCTTGATTGTGTCTTCTAGCCGTGTACTGAGAATATTAGCTTGCGGCATGTAGTGAAGAAGAATACTCACATTTCACTACTGATAAAGTCTAGACGACCCTTGACTGTGTTATCAGCCTCAAACTTGTCTTGCTTGAGCAACACTGGCCCAGCGAGTTTGTAGATTGTCTCTCCCTCTTGTAGTCGCTCAAATTCCTGATCCTCATTAGCCCATGCTCACTGTATCTCAAAACAACACTTACCTGCTGCACACCAAGATTCTCCTGCTTCTGGCCCTCCAACTTCTGTCGCGACGCCACAGCGTTCTGAAGTTCTACTCACAATCAGCATAATTCCCCTTCAAAATGTCCCTAAACATACCGCCTTGAAGCTTCTGAAAGTCTTCAGACAGCGCCTGTAACCGTGCTTGGGGATCAGACATGATGATGTAAAAAGCGGTAAAATATCACTAAGCAGATGAGAAAATGTCCTGCCTATTTCTGATTCGTCTTTTTGGAGCGTCCTTTAGTTGTCGCCTAAATCGCCAAGGCAGAGGTCGAGAAGCTCGAGGTAGAGGGTAAAGGTTGTGCAGCCCCTCTCTGCCCCGCTATAAGCATTGCGCTCAATCAATCCAATCCAACCGTGGATCTTGATGTTTCCCCGCCAATTCAATCCACCACCTACAGCCTGTACTGTACCTGTCCGTCTGTACCTACTGCCTTGCCTTGCTTGTTGCTGCACTGTTGCCTCATCACCGTCCGCCATCTTAATTCTGCTTCAACCTCTCGAGGCTCTGTTTGTTCCCTCCTCGACCCTCTCTTCGAAATCCCCTTACTCCTCTGGGAGCCTCGAGTCTCGTCACCCCCTCCCCCCACGTTCATCGACCCCAAACAACGTCACCATGTCGACCAACTTCCGCGATCGCGCCATCGCAGAGGTGCAGAAGGCGATCACAGCCGACCACAACAAGGAGTACCAAAAAGCCTTCGACCTATACATGTCCTCCATGGAGCTCTGGGTCAAGGCCCTCAAGTGGGAGAAGAACAAGGCCCTCAAAGTCACCATGCAGGAGAAGATGGCGACGTACCTCGACCGCGCAGAGAAGCTCAAGCAATTCCTCGCCGCTGAGAACGAGAGCGCAAACGGCGGCGGCGGAAAGGCCATCATGGGCGCTAACGGCAGCTCGACTGGCAAGGGGAAGCCGCAGGCTGGCGAGGACGACGACAGCAAGAAGTTGCGCAACGCGCTGTCTGGTGCTATTCTCCAGGAGAGGCCCAACGTGCGGTGGGAGGATATCGCTGGTCTCGAGGGTGCGAAGGAGACGCTGAAGGAGGCTGTTGTCCTCCCCATCAAGTTCCCCAGTCTGTTCCAGGGCAAGCGACAGGCGTGGAAGGGTATTCTGCTGTACGGTCCTCCAGGAACGGGTAAAAGTTACCTCGCCAAGGCTGTAGCGACAGAAGCAAACAGTACCTTTTTCAGTATCAGCAGTTCCGACTTGGTCAGCAAATGGATGGGTGAAAGTGAAAGGTACGTTCCCTGCAGTCATTAGGCGCTCTATCTAACCCCTGCAGACTCGTCAAGCTCCTCTTCTCCATGGCGCGCGAAAACAAGCCCTCGGTTATCTTCATCGACGAGATCGATGCCCTGTGCGGCCCAAGAGGTGAAGGCGAATCCGAGGCCTCACGTCGTATAAAGACCGAGATACTTGTTCAGATGGACGGTGTAGGCAACGACAGCAAGGGTATTCTGGTCCTGGGCGCCACCAATATTCCCTGGCAATTAGACGCTGCTATCCGCCGACGTTTCCAGCGCCGTGTGCATATTGGTCTTCCCGACATGAACGGTCGCGCGCGCATGTTCAAGCTAGCCATCGGCGATACTGAGACCTCGCTCCAGGCCAGCGATTACAATGTTCTTGCAGCGAAGTCAGAGGGAATGTCTGGCAGTGATATCGCCAACGTTGTTCAATCCGCTCTCATGCGACCAGTCCGCAAGATTCTACAAGCCACACACTTCAAGCCTGTAAGTTACCCCCTTCACAGCATTCGATCTCGACTAACAAACCCAGGTTATGAAAGACGGCAAGCGCATGTTGACGCCCTGCTCACCAGGCGACCCCGAAAAGATCGAGATGACATACGACGACGTCTCATCCGACGAACTACTTGCACCAGATGTAGCGCTGAAGGATTTCGAGATGGCGCTTGACGATTCGCATCCAACTGTTTCCAAGGATGATATTGCAAGGCAGATTGAGTGGACCAATGAATTTGGAAGCGAGGGCGCATGATAGGGGAGAACAGACAGATATATAAACACAAGGGAGGTAGCGAGTTTACAGGATTATGTCTTAGCATGGCGGCGTCTTGTGGAGTTTTTATTTATCTCGTAGCTTGGCTTGACTTGGGAACATGGTGTGTGGGTAAATGAAATGAATGTTGATATATATACACGATTTTGAGTAAAGGTCCAGGCAGAGCAACCCGAGTGAATGATGATGGTGGGAGAGCTGTACAGATTGGGTTTAGCGTTAGATGCTTGATGATGCTGAAGTGCAGGGTAATTGAAGGACAATTGAAGTGAAGCATCAATGTCAGCCATGTAAAGGCCCAAGGAAAATGAATTGTTGATTAAAGAACTTCTTACAACTTTCTATTTAGTTCAATATACAAGGTAAGGTAGTCAAGATAACCTCTGATCTATGATGGAGTTGCGACTCTGCCCAGAACGCACGTCGAGTTAAGATTTCTTTAGTCCAATAAGCAAACCTGGCTCGATGACCCAGCAAAAAAGGCAGCTTCATAACCAAAAGACAACAACTTTTGGTACATGATGAAGTTGCTTCTTGCAAAGCTAAATACCTTACCTAAACTTTGACTCAGCCAATCCCAAGCTCTTTCGGAAGTTGGCTGGCTGCCTCTAACTCCTGGTAAATCACAGCTTACAGCTTTCATGATGGAGTGCAACCCCCCCAGGTTCATCGGCGTGCCAAGTCAATGCCAGCAAAGGGAATTGTGATTCAAAAAAGCGAAAAAAAGGACCAGGGCAAAGGAGGGTCAGATGAGATGAGGATACAAAAGAATCTTAAGTACCTAAAAACAGCAATCGTCATGAAAAACAAGCTCAACTGCAGAGTAGAGAGAGAGGCTGTCTGTAAACCACTTTAAAGCCATTGCCCCACTATCTTTATCTTATCCATCTTATCGAGCGGTATCCCACGGCAAAAACATAATTTCATCCCATCGCCAACCATCCCACCATCCATGACCACCCAAACGCCATACACATCCCCATGTTCATCGCCTTCAAAAATGCTCGCTCATCACTCCCACGGCGTATCCGCCCTTCACCCTCCCTAACTCGCCACGCCTCCAGCAAAATCACAAGCGAACAACTCGAACCCTCAAACGAACTCTCCCAACGCCTACAAGATACAGGACTATGGCAATGGACTCAGAAAGCCGGCCGCCCCAAAGCGCCTGTAGGCGACAAGCACCGCGCCAACCTCGTCAGCCAAAGTCTCTGCGGTACGATAACCCCTCGATTTCTTGGTTTGAAGCTTATTGTGTAGATGATATTGCTCAATACATCGGCCCCTCGTTCGATCGCCATAAAGGATGCGACATTGTCGATATAAACCCCGGCCCCGGCCTCTGGAGTCGCACTCTCCATGATCTCGTGCAGCCCCGAAAACACATCCTCATGGAACCTGATATTGAGCTATACAGGCCGTTTTTGGGCGACTTCCTCGACAAACCCAACGTCGAAGCCGTTCCCAAAGCCGGTATCCTCTGGAAAGACCTAACCTCCATCCTCGAATCCCTCCCTCACCAAACCGCCCGCGATCCCGCCGCCGAGCCCGAACGCAACGACACACTCCTCGTCAACGTCAACCTGTGCTACTGCCCACCGAAGAAGTACCAATCATTCGAGTGCGTAAGCACAATGGTTCTCTACCAGCTCATGTCCAGCATCCGCACCGCCTCGCTCTTCCAGCAATACGGTCTCGTGCGCATGCTAGTATGGATCTCCGACGACGGCAAACGGCGCCTCCTCCCACGAAGTGCCATCCGTCGAAAACGCAGCGCCTTTGAAGCAGAGCTCTCCCTCGAATGGCTCCATGAAATCTGTGGCCATGACGTCGAGGTCGAAGATCGTTATGAGCTCCGCGATGAGTGGATCAACATGGAGTCGGGGTACAACTGCCTCGAGCGCATGAAGAAAGCTGGATTGACGATGCCCAAGGGCCGCGAGACGATCATGTACAAGAATCTCAGCGCCAACCGAAAAGTCGCCGGCAAGAAGCTCGCAGGCGTTCATCCACCCCGACATATGCGACCTTTCCGCGAAGAACTCGAAGGTTTAGAAACAGCATTCAAAGAGGACAGCGCCTCAGAGGCATCCAGACGCTTAAAAATGCTGCGCTACCGCGAAAAATACGACGCAGCGGATTCGCAGCTCTTCCTCGAACTCCTCCAGCAGCAGGAGCTCCTCAACAAGCTCTGGAAAAAGTCACCCAAGGAATTCCGCGCCGCCGAAGCAGAATTCAACGCCCGTCTCGACGTCGTCAAGAAAAACACACGGAAAGAATGGCTCATGGTCCGCGATAACTACCACCTCTTCCGTCAAGAAACTCCAACTCTATACTGGGACCGTCGCCCCTTTGAGCCTCTCGCCGCACGCGCCGATGAATTCTATCCCCGCATGCCCTGCGCTCTGCTCGACCTGCAGCCCAAGGCCATGAATAAGTACACACGGCAGCACGGCCCGACTTCGCGAAACGGTACCATCTCAGATACCATGCTCCGCTACTGGTTCCAGCACATGCTTGCACCAATAACGAGCTCAATGGACGGCGTTTGGCCTGGCTTTGGCGACTGTGCAGCTGATATCAAATCGCTTCGTGATCCCAAGCTCGGCGGATCTCCTCTCTCAGGACATGGAGAGTTGGTAGCGCGCTGTGTTACGCAGGATCAATGGGCGGATATAATCAAGGCATATCTGGAGTGGCCGTTTGCTCCAGAGTATACTACGCTTGTGGGGAGGTTGATGGATGATTATGACATTGACCCACCTCAAGAAGACGAGTCCAAGGGTTCCTCCATGGGCGGTGTTATATGAATTGTACGAATACAGCGACACATAAAATATTTTACATGTACCATAGACAAAATAGAAGTGTATATCATGATAATTGATACAATGGACTGAGAACTCATTCTGAGCTGTAACTTATGTACTGTACTTGACTTAGATGCCATAAACCCCGGTCGTTGTCCGTAGAGCAAAACGACATGCATCAAAAATAAAACCACGCCAAAACGCCATCGCCTACCAAATCAAGGCCAACTCCACACAATGATGTATCATATCTTCAACTTGCTCCACGTCTTCTCGATAGACGGATCCTTGAGCGCATCGTCAACCCACCCCATCTTATCCCTATCATCCGCAATGACCCTGCCGTACTCCAACAACAACCGCAGCACATAGATCTGCATGTCCTCTTTTCTGAGTACTTTATTCGCCCACTCTTTGCCCTCGAGCGCAATTCGCTGCGCAGCTTTATCGTGACCGCTTGTTTCGCCGTACCCTCTGAAATACTCCATTATGCCGTAAAAGTCCTGGAATCTGTTGTCCATGGGGACGAAGTGCACCCACGGCACGAGACGGCTGTCGTGCCATTCTCTGAAGAGGGTTGCTTTTATGGGGAGGGATGTCGAGTTGAGGAAGCCGAGGTAACGACCTGAGAAAGAGTTTCCGTCGATATCGGGAACGTATTTGTAGTCGAACTGCTCGTGCATGTCCATGCCGTCAACCTTGGCGAAGTAGTGATCCGTGTACCAGCACCGTCCGTCATCTTCAGAGGGTGAGCACATGAGATCCACGAAGCCTACTTCAGACCACTCGCCGACCCACTCCCCAAGACGACCATCAGCTTGCGCGTGAAGATGATACTTCTCCGAAGGAAGGACGAAATTCTCAGGCTTCTCCTTACCGTGCTCAACAGCCGAGACCTTTGTCTGGTTGAGCATCGAGACAAAGCGATGACGGTGAAAACCACGCCAATTCTCAGGCTTATTCTTGCCTCCCGTCGCGACGCCACGCCAGACCACAGTATTTCCCTTATTCTGCCACTCCACATCATTATCCTCACCGCCCGTGAAGCGATCCTCTCCCTTCCAGTAAATCGGCGGCGGGAGCAGAATTTCGTTGTTGATGGCGAGTTTCGAGCCGCCAAACATAGGAAACAGGACTTTTGTAGAAGAAACTGAGATTGGGTTGATCAAAAGACCGTTTAGGCCTTGGAGGTCGGGTTGGTGGCAGATTTCGCTCGATAGTGTAAAATTGGAGACGTAGCCTGCGAAAGAGTGCTTCTCGGCGTTGGAGATGTCGATTTCGGGGGGGTGGTTGAAGGATTCTTTTAGAGGCGCTTGGCGGGCTGGACTGTCTGGGGGACATCCTCGACGGGCAATTGGCCAGTATGGGCCTGTGTCTGTTAGCAAACGCCATGGTAAAAGTCTCTGTCTGACGTACTAGTCTTTTCCCATCGCTTGAAAGGAATTCTGACGTCCCTGTCATGTCGTCCAGCAGTAGGAAGCTTCTGAAACTCTGAGACAACCTCCTTCGCAGGCCATAGACTCCGCGACGCAGCGCCCTTGGTCATGTATCCATCAATATCCTCCCACGGCACCACAAGACGGGGTTCGTCCATCGCATTCAACGGCATATCCAGATCAGGAACCATATGTTCAATAGAGCGAATCATATCAAGCCAAATCAACGTCCAGAACCAATCACTCGTTGAATTGGCTTTACCGTTTCGAATGTGGATCGACATCTCAAAGCTGTACGCCTCTTTTCGGATGATAGGTTGGGGAACGCCCCAAAACGGGTCGATATCGTGGTAAACCTGATCCCAGAACTCCTCCACCACAATGGCGTTGTTCTGCTTGGCGAAGTCCCACCATTTGTCGAAACCTGGCGGGGGATGACGACCACGGCGTTTACGGTACGCTTGGGCTGCTTCTTCGAGGGTATGCGATTCTCTGGAGAGGAGATCTTTGTATCGTTTTCCGCCGTCGTTGATGAGCTTGTCAATCGGATGAGCGCCCTGCACGGGTTTATTTGAGAACTTTATAAGTTAGCACGTGTCACCAAGCTCGCAGGCTTAAAACATACAGGTTGCTCTGCTGCCTTCACAGGAAACGAATCAGCGCCCTCAGCAGCAGCAGGTTGTGATTTCTGTATCGGTAGCAGAGACGGCGCAGGAGAGCGATTGCTAAAGGACCAGAACGCAAAGAGGACGAGAGCAGCGAGGGCGCCGAATCGAATGAAGGAGGAGCTGCGCCGCGTCCTGAACCCAGGCGCAAGCATCTTGGGCATGTCGTCGGTATTCGACAGTGAAATGATCGTAGCCGATTACGGCGCAGAAATCTGACGCCAGCGACAGAAATCGAAATGCGCAGGGTTTTTGAGGGCGAAAAGGGATGACGAATGCGGTAGTGGAAGAGAAAGAGGTGGTCGATCGCGGGGCAGGGCGACGGTTTATTTTTGGTGAGACTAGTCGACGAAGATAAAAAAAAAGAAAACGTCGAAGATAGTGAAAGCAGTCGCTCTTTTCAACACATGATTAATCGATCTGTGAGTGAGTATGGCCGTTCGGGAACGGAAGATGCCAAGTCGTTCGTTTTGGGTTATGTATGTATGTATATCTGCAGTGTGCCCGTTCAAACGTACTGTAACGTGGGGAGGGTGGGTTTAAAGTGTTTGTAGAGACTGGACAGACAAGGATTGTCAAAACAAAAAAGGGGGTTTATCTTGAAGATATCCACCGAGTCAATGTGAGGTTTTTTTCTAGTCGTGGAAGAGAGAGTGAGAGAGGTTTTAGGAGAATGCAAGAGAAACAAAGGAACAAGCACGAATCGCTGGAATGGAATGAGGGAGGGAGTTTAGTTAGGATTGAAAGGAGCTTGTGCAAGCAAGTCAATTTGCGTGCGATGAATCTCAAATAGCAAAGCAGGGAACAGCTCCAGCTTCAGACTAGCCCAACCTAAAATGTGGGATCTCACCAATTTAGCTGCCGTGGTACTTCCCACTCTGTAATAAATCTGCAGGAGATGGAGGTACAACGACTCAGGGGCTTGGACGGGCGATTTTGGAGTAGGGGACGTTTCTGTGGGTCTCTCTGCATCGGGGGTTCTTAATTTTTCCCTTTGCTACAGGGGGAGTTAGGTGCTGTAGGCGCTGGAAAGTCCACATTATGTGTTGCATCTTGGGATTAAACTTGGATAAATCAGGGGTCGATCAGACGCTTTACACGCGTCATGTAGTATTCTACGGTGGCACTGTTTTTTCCTTTACAGAAGGTAGGTACTTTTTGAGATTCATCTGACGGGAAACGTGTTTGGTGTCTCAGAGAGAAAGTAGCCAATCTCATTGCTAGAGTATGTATCGGTTAGACAAGTTCAAGGGAGGACAGTGTTCCTCTTTTTTTTGCAACGTCGCCTGTGATGAAAGGACAAGGCGGGTTGATGTGAGTTGCACAGTTTCATTGGGAGGTGATCCATGAGGGGGACGCGTGTCAGAGCTGTTTCTGATTACAGGTACAGGGATTCTCTCATCAACTTGCAACTTGGACAATAGTCATGGCGATGAATATTAATGATCATTCCTCACCGTAAAAATAGGTATTTAATGAGCATGTCCACTTCTAGCTTCAAGTTACAATCCAAAGTCCCACTGGATTATCATACTGCAAGGTTCACAACGGACGACGTTTCGATAGCCAAGCTTTTTTTTTGTGTTTCTCCAAATAGTTTGTTTAATTTCAGCCGCACAGAATCGATCTAATCCCATCACTCCCGACGGCGCATGCAGCGGTTTGAATTGAGCCCCTGAACGGTGTGGCTGCTAGTCTCCGCTCCCGGGCACGCGATCTCTACCAAAGATCCATGGATGAATTGAATATTGAATGAGATCAAGTGGATATCGAATTTGCCTGTGTTTGTTTACATGCCGTCAGGAGGGTCATTGCTGGAGAGTGTTTGTTGATCATCGCTGAATGTTTGGCTATCACAATCCCACTGGAACACCACCAAATTGGCAAACACTGGAGTCACTGTTTGCAACACAGATCTGCAAAACAGAGACAGGTTCACGGGATCTTGCGCCTGAATCACAAATAGAACCAGACCTCGAAGCTGACGTCTTGGCACGACTCACCCTCAGGCGGACTACCGGTTCGTTAGCACAAGAATACCGGTAGTCAAGGTCAGCCCCATCTCGTAAAACCAGCAATTCGATACATTCCTGCATCTCGAATTCTCTCAGGGTTATCAAGATGCTAAGCTTTTTCCAGTGGAGAACGCATCCGAAACAAACGAGAGTCTAAAAACCCCGATGTCATTGAATACGAGCTGTCATGGAATTTTCCATATGGATAGTCAGCTGATCTAGACTTCTGAGTCAGCCTACGTCAGTCCTCTTCATTCCATACCAATTGTTCTTTTCCGTATATTCACGATCTGTGTATGATGTGACCATGTCCATTGGCTCGCCTGGGTTGGAGAATATCGCGAATGACCTCGGTGTTTCTCGTCCTACCCCAATCTGCTGCTTGCTTATCCGGTCGGCTCACTTTGTCCAACAGAGTGATCTGTCAACTTCGCCAATAATTGCCAGAATATTAAATCCCTCTGTGGCCTGCCGTATCCGTCTCGAGATCCGCGTTCCGTCATGTGAGGTTCTTTTCTGTGTCGCCAAGGCCGGACAATCCCTTCACTTCTGAATCCCCGAGTTTTTGACTGAGTATGCGAGTTGGCGGCCTGTCGAGAACAAAGCGTCGAGATCATCGACAGCTTCAGTGAGAATTGCTAGTGGGGTAAAAGGTGCGGCTCCGGAGCTTCCCCAGCTCAAGGAAATAAACCGGTCTCACTCAATGACGGTTGACATCAAGTCCTCTCGAATCTTCCTCGTCGGCGTAAAATCGGTCTACGACCTTTCGTCGTCTTGCGTAAAAAGTTCCATCTCAGCCGGGTCACGTCGGTCCAATTCTGGGTCATTGATAACAAGCCCCAACCATGAGAACAAATTTGCGGGCGCTGGAGCGTGGGACGCAGAGACACAGCAAACTCCAGAAAGCTAGTAACTTAGGGGAAAGTTGCAGAGACAGCTAGTAACTTAGGGGAAGGCAGACCCGCGACTCTTATGCGCCGACTCCTCCGTCGAAAACACAGCTAGTAACTTAGGGGTAAAGAGTGCCGACCACGACCATGGCATGCGCCAGAGGTATTACCTAACATTACATAAGATCAATAGAGGCTATCTACGGCTGTGAGCGGTGCATCCCACGTCCCATGGCCGCCGGCAAACACAGCAGAGATGATGTGAATGAAGATGATGTCTGATGAGAAGATGTAGAGGTATTGGACAAGGCGAAAAACATAGGATATATATCGTCGGCACTTGACGCAAAGTGGAGGAGACGTGCTCGAATTGGGGAATCGGGGATTTTGGAGCAGACGGGAATTGAATGGACACATAGTGAGGGAAAAACTGGAGAAGATGTGCGTAAGAGAAACCCAGATGAGCGGGACCAACAGAATCACAGCATCTGTATCTGTCATTCGAAAGGGCTGTCTTATGACCCTTGACATGTGCCAGTCACCAGTGGCAGGCTGTTGATAACCTTTGGAGAGTGTAAGAGAAACCCCCGCGCCCGCCCGAAGCCGACGCTATTACCTTATCCATATTCAATTGTCTTGGGGAGATGGAGGGAGACAATAGGTGTCTGTGCCGCCGGCCGATTGCAGCCATGAGAGGGTTCAAAGAGGCCGAGAGAGGATGAGAAATGTCATTGACCCTCCGAATACAAATGGAGGCTTCTTCCCATATCTTTCTACTACTCAATCTCTTCTCAAACTCAACTCAACTCTACTCAACCCATCTTCACTTCTTCACTTCTTATCTTCACTTCATTTCCCCTTATCTTATCACTACGTCACCCCCCACATTCCGCCCATCATGAACACCGGTCTCGTCAACAGCCGCTTCCTCTCCAAGCCCGATGAAGTCGGCATCGTCGCCGTCGGTTTCTCCGGCGGCCAGCCCAAGGCCGGCGTCGACATCGGTCCCGCCGCCCTCATCGAGTCCGGCCTCCTCACCGAGATCCGCGACGAGCTCGGCTACAAGCTCTTCGGCGACGAGTCCGTCCAGCAGTTCGAGGACCTCGTCCCCGAGTCTGACCCTGACTACCGCGGCATGAAGAAGGCCCGTCACGCATCCGCCGTCACCCGCAAGATCGCTTCGCACACATACGAGCACTCGCGCGAGGGTCGCATGACGCTTACGCTCGGCGGTGATCACAGTATTGCGATTGGTACTATTGCTGGTACTGCCAAGGCTACGCGGGAGAGGCTGAACCGTGAGATTGCTGTTATCTGGGTTGATGCGCACGCGGACATCAACACTCCTGAGAGCAGTGATAGCGGAAACATTCACGGCATGCCTGTTGCTTTCCTGACTGGTCTTGCCAAGGAGGATAAAGAGGAGTACTTTGGCTGGCTCGAGGATGACATGCGCTTGAGCGTCAAGAAGCTCGTCTACATTGGTCTTCGATCCGTTGATATCGGCGAGAAGAAGATTCTCCGTGAGCACGGCATCAAGGCTTTCAGCATGCACGATGTCGACCGGTAAGCCTTTGACTTCTGCGCTCATGAGCTTTACTAACCTTTGCAGACATGGTATCGGCCGCGTTGTCGAGATGGCCCTCGCTCACATCGGAAACGACACCCCCATCCATCTATCCTTCGACGTTGATGCCCTCGACCCCATGTGGGCGCCCAGCACCGGCACACCCGTCCGCGGCGGACTGACTCTGCGCGAGGGAGACTTCATCTGCGAGAGCGTGCACGAGACAGGAAACCTCGTCGCCATTGATCTCGTCGAGGTGAACCCTCAGCTCGCAGATGGCAAGCAAGCGGAGCAGAACACAATCCACGCTGGATGTTCACTGGTGCGGTGTGCTCTTGGCGAGACTCTTTTGTAAAATGTTGAATTAGGGAGGGTGGTGTTTTGTGAGATGATTGATGATATCCTTGAGTTGAATGGGTCGGTGCATATGCATTAGGTATTCTACATAACATACAAGCGCTGGCTGCGCTGCGAGATCGCTCTCGAAATAAAATGTCTTTTTTCTTTCCTCGGGACTTGATGAAACCATCGGCACGTTCGGGACTGAAACGTAATAAATAATTTCTCCGATCTTCTGATCAATCGTAAAGAAATCATCTTAAAGGCTGGAAAATGGATCTTGTCTTTTGACGTGTAACCATTCAGAAGCCATCGCAGCGTCATCGTCCCCTGTTGCGTCGCATCCCCAGCCACCAACCAACCCCCTCTATCCGAAGCCTCACCCAAAAACGCTTTGTTGCAATTTCACACTTGACCTCAATTGGATGCAACCATTTTCATCCCCTGTCTTGTTGACTTTTGTTCTTTTTTGCTTCTCTTCTTCTTGAGTATCAAAAACACCAACAACATTAATCGCTGTCGTGTGATTAATACCTGATAAGAGGCCTCAATTGGCACCTCTTGGCATATCGACCCGACGTCAGATCCCCAGCCAACACAGCACAATCTCCACACCTAAAGTTCCCGACCCAACTGGAACGCGCAGAAAAAACACCGACGACGAGAGATTTAAACGCGTGAGGCATCAACGCAGCAGCTTCGATTTTGAGGCATCCAAACTATCCTTCACGATTTGAGGTTCCCCTTCGAGGCGACGCTGGGCAATCAACTGGTCGCCGATCGGCGGGGCTTGTTCTGCGACGTGGCAGTCTTTGCGGGAAGACACAATCAGCGACGCGTGATTCCTAGGCTTTCGACGATTTATACTATATCTTGACGACGACCTCGACGACATATTGAGCGTGTTATATTCACTCTTGGTTGATACAGACGAAATGGTCGCGAAATCAACGGTTACCGGTTTGACCGGCACGACAGGATGGACGGGAACGAGCTTCACACGATCGTCAATGACTTACGATGGTCCTCCGCCGTCTACACATGTTCGAACTTACAACTGGCCTCCTTGGCAATTGAATTTCTGGATCTTTGTTATCCTCCTTGCATCGACGAGCATCATTGGCGTGTTTGCGACATTTATACAGATCCAGACTCAACTTGAGCTTGGAATTCCATGGTACGTCCCCCATTGCACTGCCTATCGAGAGATGGTTTGTTAATGCCTTCAGGTACTTCCCCTACTTTATCACCGTCGGCTCTCTCTCCATTATCTTTATTCTCGGTATCTTCTGGCTCATCGCCCAACGCCGCCTCCTCCCCGCCATCGTAATGGTCGGCGGCTTCATGTTCTTCATACTCTGGATCGTGGGCCTCGTCGTCGTAGCGATACAGTTATTTGGACCCGATGGATCCATCCAGAGCGTGTGCGATGTACAAGTCTTTGGAAGGAATCCCAAGGGTACGAGCATGGCGACGATGGCGTGGCTTCAACAACGAAACATCTGTACGTTTTTCATGTCTCACCTTCAGGGTCAAGTTTCATCATTGCTAACTTGTGCAGGTCAATCATGGCAGCTTGTCTTTGCGATGGCTCTTACTGGTACTGTCTTCTTCGTCTGGGTTATGATCATGGCATACCAAGTCTTTGTCAACTCATAACCGACCACTGAGGGAAATACAGAGAGGGTGGGATAATTGAATTAATGACGAAGTTATGAAGCATGGCATGACGCCTGGAGTTGCATGATTGTTATAATATGTTTGTTTGCATTGGATGGAGTTGGATTGAACAGAACAGAACATTGGTGCATTTACAGGCATTCTATTGGATAGTATAGAGGAGAAGATTAATTAGCACTACATAGGCATATCGTCAAATGACCTCGAAGGGATCATCATATGTTGGCTCCCCACTGGGAGAAATAATACTTCTGACGATAAATCAGGGTGCCAGATTAAACTGGTCCTAAAGCTCTACTAAAGTATACTAAACTTAATTCACTGGTGCGGCTTGTGTCACGGTCAATGTCAGAGTATGATAGTACGGAGAAAATAATGACTATTGCTTTTGCTTTTGTTGGTAACGCCAACCCTACCAGTTACTACATGTTTTCTTCTGCATCTTATGTTTCCAAATTCCCGTTTGCTTTCCTCATCCAACTCAAGCAGCGGTCTCCTGCTGCTTACCGTTGCCCGTGAGCTGAAGATGGTATGCGTGGATAATAGAATCCGCATCGTCGATAGCAAGTGGTCGGATCTAAAAGACATTGTTGTTAGCTAAATCTACTCTGGTCGAGTGAGGGGATGTGGTTGCTCACGTCGGCCAGTTGCTTGATCTTGGCAGTGCTATAACGGATATGTCAGCTTCAACTCCTTCAATGTTCTTCTTTAATTCGTCGACTTACACTTCCTTGATTTGGGCGTCGGTCTCGAAGCCACCGGGTCCGTCCAGGCCGAGTTGGGTACTAACAGGTATTAGTGGCGCTCAATTAATGAACCCCCACACTAGTGCTGAGGCACTGATATGGGTTGGAGGGGTAGGGAAAAAACGAACATTCTGCCCTTGACCGCGTTCCATCCGGTAATTCTTGAGGTAATGTTAACGTAGCGAGTCACTATAATCGTCAGCTGTCTCCTGCTTGAGACTTCAAGAAGAAAAGAATATAAATCGTACATCCGAATAGCGCAGGGTCGATGATCTATTCCTTGTTAGCGACTAGCCGTATTGGCAGCTATCCTGGATCGTTTGTACTTACCTCGTAAGTAGAGGGATTCGCCAGAATAGCCTTGGCGTGGATACCAGCCTTGTGCGTGAAGGCACAGAAGCCTGTGAAGGGTCAGTCCTGGTCTCACTCGATCGACGCTTTTGACAACTTACCTGTAACGGGGTTGTTGAATGGAATGTTGATCTCGACAACACTCGCAACGTACTCCTCGATATCTTTCAAGCGAGGAAGATCAAATGTTGCCTTGGTATACTCTGGCGCACTTACGACCATGCGAGCCATCAAAGCGCCACTTGAAGGTATCGGTAAGTGTTCTCCACTATGAAGGGTTGAGATATACATACAGAGGGGTAATGCCGTTTCCTGTCAAAGTCTCGAGTCAGCACAATTTTCAATGAGCCAGGGATTCAAGCACTCACGCTCTCCGATACCTAGCACAGACGTGTCCACGTGTGTGGCTCCTCCTGTGGTTGATTTAGCTGATGTTTACATAACGATGCCAAGGACAGGACTACCTTCGAGGGCAGTGACAGCGTTCCTGAAGAGATTGTCAGCCAGCATTCATTACTCAATCTTGGGAGTATCTTACGCGACTGAGCAGCCAGTATCGTCATGGAAGTGGCATTCTTTAGACTTGTTAGCAAAGTATTCATCATAAGAAGCAACTTGTAGACTGCAGAAGAGGGATTGACAAGGAGTGTGAGTAAAGAAGCCGTCGGGTTTAAATACGCACCAATGTCGCAGCCCACGACACCTAGAACACGTTAGCATATTTATTTCTCGGTCCTTGCTCGCAGAACCTTACCTCGGAGCGTGCGGACGAGGTCATAGACCATTCGGGGAGTAGCTCCTCCGACCTGGACAAGGACGCCAAAATTAGCTTCATGCGGTTCACAAAGATGACGGAAAATACGGATGCCCTACAGTGTCGGCGATACCAACGCGGTTCACGCCTGCCTTATCCCTGTAGAGAAGGTCAACATATATCGTCGTGCTACTTGCGTTATCCAACGTACACGGCCTGGTAAAGGGCAAGGATATCGACGAGGTCGGATCGGAAACTGTCCTCGGAACTGAATCGCACCTCAACTCCCTTGCTATTGCGGTTGTTAGGAACTGGTGTGTCTAAAACTTGTGCAGATTGCAAGAACTTACGACTTGACGTATTCAATGACTTCGAGTGCGCTGAGAAGTTCAGTCAGTACAACAATGCCATCCGCTGGTGTCAGGAAAGGGCACATGCGTTTGCTTGATCATGGCCATGGATTTTCCATGGCTGTACTCGCGGAGGAAGGATGAAGTGCCGATAACGAGATCTACACCGTCAACTCCGCATTCCTGATAATGTCAGTTGAACGACCGTACGTCTGCAGATATCGTTTATGAGACTGGCTTACCACTGCGCGCTTGGCATCTTCCATGTTGCATCGAACGTGTGTCAAGATCTTGGCCTATTGTAGAATGTGAGCAATGATGTCAGATGGTTCTGCACCACAGAAGAGCGGCCTCACCTTGAGTCCAAGCGAGCAAATGTACTTGCAGTCGTCGTATGAGGCTTGGGAGCTCACAGGGCTCGTAAGCTCAATATACTGGCATCCAAACTCACTGTAGTCCGTTAAAATGTTTTCACGAAAAGGTCCGGCGTCGTGAACAGAACGGCTTGGCGGGGGGTGTCTTACGAGAGCATGGTTGCGATCTTGACCTTGTGCTCACGAGTGAAGAAGGCATTGGCGAATTGCTCTCCCTCGCGCAGAGTTGACTCAATAATCTGGTATCGCTGTGTGTTGCTCAGGTAGTCCTGGACCTGGCTGTAAGGCGAGGACGACGGTAAGTTGGCCTTCGAGGCCGGGTGCGGGGCGGGAGCCGCGGCTGAATCGTTGTCGGTGCCGCACATGGTGCCAGACTGTGTAATTGGAGAGAGATTCGGGTGGACTTTCTTTCGGTATCGTTGCCAGGTAGAAAAGCGATGTCGCGAACAGGATAGTCGTCGTAGAATGCTAAGAGTGAAGAGGTGAAGTTCGAGGTTGGTGACCACTAGAAATGTTTACCAAAGTCAAGGTCCTAATTCGGTGCGCGGGGCATCAAGTTAGGGTGGGGACCCCGGAATCGCCAATTGAACCAATCAGAGGAATCCTGTTCGCCAAACTTTTACGCGCAATGACACATACAGAAGCCTTAACCCACTATCCCTCGCTCCGACTTCGCTTCAGTGGTCTAGCACTTGACGGATGACGCCTGAGCAAGAGCTGTGGTGCTGACTAACCGGGCTTGGGCGCGAGTCATATGTACCCGCACAACCGGTGCGTTTAGGGTCACGTGTTTTATGCACAACCGGCAGTGTTAGTCTCCTGGGCGTGGGCTCCCTCTATTTCGCTGCAGAACTACGGATAGGTACCTAAGTAATGCCTTAGAAGTTAGGACAAAGATCATGAGCTTTCTTCCCCCCCTTGGCTCCCTCAATCTGCAAGCTAACTGAGAGAGGCTCTGGACCCTTTGACCCCCGACGTTTTGCTCGATCCTCATTAGCCCTCTTGTTATCTTTTCAGCTCCTATTGCACGGCGGTGTCACTAGCTCAGCCTTCACGTACAGGCCTCAACCAAGGTTCAATTACCCCTCCCTCACCAGGAAAGCATCGCGGCAATCAGCCAAGAAGCTTTCCGTCTTTGAAACAGCCATGATGAAATACCCAGAGTCATATACCGGAATTAGAATCAGCATCCGGCAATACGTGCCGTGAGACTGCGAGCCGGGTCGTAAGTCAGGTCTCAGGGTCTGGAGTGACGTAGGCTGAACCCCTGTAAAGTGAGGGATGACGAAAGAGGGGGGCATGCAGATGTTGGCACTTTGGTGAGATCTAATGGATCTGCCGGTTTAATTTCTCCATTCTGTAAATGAGACTTGAACAAAGTTGGAAATGGTTCGTTATCATTAGCCGTGGGTTGAGAGGTATAAGAAGGACGGAATGTCGCTGCTGCATTGAGTTCTTTATCACATCAAACTACTTCACTTACATCTACAAACCCAAATCAACATCCTTAACTCACAATGGATTTCATCAAGAACGCTGTGTCTGGTGCCTCCAAGTCTGGTGATGCCTCCAAGACCGACTCCAAGACCGACTCCAACAACCAGGAGGACTACGTCGATAAGGGTACATTCCCTTCAAATGCCTCATGGACCTTGACAGTTCACTGACATTCACAGGTGTTGATTTCCTCAACAAGAAGGGTGGCTTCAACATCTCCCGCGACAACCAGGAGAAGGCCACCGACTTTGCCCGCAGCCAGTACGAGAAGCAGACTGGGTAAGTGGCGTTTGACATCCATAGTGGCTTGACCTGTGGCTAACAATACTCCAGCAACAAGGTCGACCCCAAGATCTCTAACTAGAGAGAGGGATAATGTTTAATGATGGAAGCTCAAATAGTGAGCATGAATTAATATGACATAATTACTCCAATTCAATTCGACGGGTCCAAAGTGACATCAAGGTTGACGTGAATCACTGCCAATGAGCATCGTAGATCCAACTCCTGCGAATCATCCATCAATCCACAAAATAAACGAGTTGGATCTGAAGGATTGTTTCACTTCGATACGAATTGCTTACTCGCTTAGGAATTTAGTTCTCTTCTCCAACTCAAACCCTTGTTTCAACCTGCGATCTAACGATCAGAAGCAAGTTTACTGTCTCAGGCTGAAGCAAAAGTGTAAACCACCTCGTATTTTTGCATCCATGACGAGGCTTTGCTGTGAAATCGAGTATCGCTGTCATTGGATTCTAGACTCCAACGCATAAAGCGCTGGCAGGTTGTCCCAAGCAACGAGCCAAGCTTCAATTCGACCACATGGATTAGCCCCGCTATTTCCCCTCCAACCGCCGCTAAACAACCAGCGCAGGGGAGCGATACAGATTGTGATTGGCTGGGCAGATACACCATCAACGGCGCCCTGAAGGGATAGACTTTAGCGCAGTCAGGTTTTCTCTTTAGTGAGAGCTTATGGCGGGCGATGCCCAGAAAGACAAAACATTCAGCATCCCCATTCAATACCCGACAATCTCCATCCACATTCGCATCTGCATCAATCACAATCCACCAGCACAGCACACCACAGCTGCCTCGCATAGCGGTCGCCGCAATGCATCATGGCCAACGATGAGCGAGAAAACAGCCAGAGCCCAAAGGCTCAGGCTCCCAGCCCAAGCCCGAGTCCAAGCGGCACCAGAGACGGGTCGCGTCCACAGACGGCCCATCGCGTCTCACACACCGGCAGCGATGATCTCGACACCACTGAGACATCAGAGATGACTGACGATACAGCCGCCGACACGTCGCAAGCCCAGCCAACAAACCCAACCACAGCGACATCTCCACACGACATTGCGATAACCGTTGATGATACGCACGCAAAATCTCAGACCCGGACAATTCCCCAGAGCACCAGCAATCCCCCCACAAGCCACGAAGACTCGATGCTGCATTTGCCTGGTCACTCTGCCCCTGAAACCAGCTACTTCGACCCTATTTCCGTCGATGTCACACGGGGACATGACGATTCTTTGACTGAGGAGGACGTTAGACGCCACCTGAGAGACGTGGAGTCTAGCTTCTTGCCCGCCTTGTCGCCCATTCCAACTGCATCCACGAACCAGGAGGGCGGCGTCGACGACACGTACCAATTCGACTCCCCGACAAAAAAGCCTGCGCCTGCTCCCCAACCTCTACAGCGACATCAGGAAGAAGAGGAGGATCACGATGTAACTGTCGCGAGCACGAATACTTCCGGCTTTGAGAACTTTTCGTCACCGACTGCTGCTGCAACACGAAGAACTATTTCGCGCGCCGTTAGCATGGCGAGTCAGCCTGACAATCGCAACACAAGCTACGACGAGAGCGAAAAGGACGACACGGAACAGGAGAGCTCACAGGTATCTAGCGCTGGCGATAACGAGGCCCCTTTATCGAGAACACATTCCTTGTCCGAAAAAGTCGATGCGGGCAGCACCCCTGGTCAATCGCTTCGAAGCCGACGACCAAAATATCTGCGCAGTCGTTTTGGAAGCCAGCGATCGTCGACATCCTCATTTGCTACGAACCCCGAGTCTCATGAAGGCAGTGACATGACCGTTGGTTTTGGTACCGATTACGCTTTACAGTCTGGCGGTGCAGTCCCCGCCATTGGATTACTACGAAATCCCAGCAATCCGATGCTACGATCCATCAGCATAGGGAGCATGGGTAGTGTTGGATCGGCGTTCGGCGCTGAGGATTACACTGATACTTCATTACCGCAACTCGAACCGCTGCACGAAGTCGATAGTCCCGAACGGCAGCGACAGGATTTGCTAGAGACACCGAAGCCCTCTAAGGAAGGGTTCACGACAGCGCCTACAGATACGGTCATCGCACGGCATGTTAGAAACGTCCAGGTACCCGAATCTTTGGCCAAGGAGTACAAGTACAAGGGTGGACTCGAAACACCCCGGAAACATTCCTCAATCACCATGGGTTCCGTCAATACCGCCCGATCGGGCAAGAACTTGACGCTCAAAGAGCAGAGCAGCACAATTGAGAGGCTGTCAAAGGAAAACTTCGATCTCAAGCTCAAAGTTATGTTCTTGAGCGATCGTCTTGACAAGCTGTCTGAAGAGGGTATCAAGGAAATGATCTCGGAAAACGTCGACCTTAAGACTGGTCTTGCGGTACTGCAACGTGACAACAAGGTTTTGCGGAGGCGGGTCAAGGAATTGGAGAAGCAAGTCCGAGATGAGGGAGAGCGTCCAAGCACAGCGCACAGTGGTGCATCATCGACAGACCAAACGGCCCGAATGGGAGATGAGGAGCGAGAGGAAGAGCTCATCTTTTTGCGGGAGCGGGTTGAGGAGTATGCCACTGAGATTGAGCGCCTACGGTCCGAAAGTTTAACCAAAGAGAATGAGCGACGAAAGTTTGCGGATATCGTCAGATCTCTTGGGGAGCGAAATAGCGGAAACATGGAGCGAGAAGAAGAGGCCGATGTGTGGAAGGACCTTCTGGAGCAAGAGACTGCGCGCAGAGAACAAGCCGATGACGAGAATAAGAGACTACGGGAGGAGGTGTTCAAGCTAAAGCAGGACATGTCTAGCTTGACTAGCGGGGGAGGCTTGCACCACACGACAAACATTTACAACATCACAAAGAAACATCGCGACGGTAATGTATCGCCAGGTCGACCTGTCTCTGGCCTCTCAGGCGACATGGAGAGTTCGAATGGCAATTTCAGTGCAGCGACCACACTCGTTGACGAACTACGTCGCGAGAGTGAGCAGCTCCGTCATGAGAATGCCGAATTGAGACGCGAGGTTGGTGCGCAGACATCCATGCTGACTTCAAGGAACCGCGAAAAGGAGCGCCTCTACCAGGAGATTGAGGATCTCAAGATGGCTCAGCGACGAGGTCGGCCTGCCCCCTCAACAATTGATAGCCTGCTCGAGCGATCGGCTTCACAGGTTGGTGGTATGGAGAGACCACAATCGCGGGGTAGCATGAAGACACGGACGCAGATTGAGGAGGAAGCCGACCGTGAAGAATTCGAGAACAAGATGAACGAGATGCGCGACAAACTCAGCGAGGTCAAGCTGCAGAATCAAGAGTTGCAGCGCGAGCTTGAGATTTGCATGGAGGACTTTGAGGCTGCTATTGGCGACAAGCGACAGGCTGAAGAAGCAGCGATGACTCTGCAGGAGGACCTCAACAATGCGATGAACGATCTTGTTGCTCTACAATCCGAACGCGACGAAGCTCTACGTGAGCAGAACGAGATGGAGAGCGAATTTGAAGCGCTACGGAAGGAGGCTCAAGAGGAGATTGATGCGTTGGAGTCAGAGGCCGATCAACAAGCCGAGGAGATGCAACGAGTGCAAGCAGATCTACAGGACCGCTCAGAAAACTTTGACGCCTTGCAGGAAGAGATGCGCAAGATGAGCGAAGCCTTGATACGACTTGAAGACGACCAGGAGAACAAATTGCGACGCATCCAACAGCTCGAGCAGGAATTGGACTCGTCGAACAAGGAGCTTGAAGAGCTGGAGCAGAAGCTCATGGAGGCGAACGACAAGAACCAGCGACTTTCTGTACAGCAAGAGTCGTCACAAGGAGAGATTGCATTCCTACGAGAAGAGCAAGAGACCGACAAGATACGCATCGGCGACCTCGAAGCTGCGATGGCCAATGCCGAACAGAGCATCCGCGAAGAAAAGGAACGAGTCAAGGAACTGGAGAACCGTCTCCAACAAGAGCGACACCAGCGGGAGATCGTGGCGGACCAGGAGAAGGAAGAGGTTCAGCAGTTTGTCAACGAGCTCAACCGGGAAGCGTCAGCGGCCAAGGATGAGGCTCGTCGTCTGCGTAAGAACTTGACGTCGAGGGAGGTTGAGGCGACAGAGTGGAAGGAGAGGTTGATGGAGCTTGAGAATAATCTTCGCGAAGCTCTCGGTGACCTCAACGGTACCCGCTCTTCGCTCCTTAAGGTGAGTTGTCTCGTCTCGTATTTGTGGGGGATTTACGCCAACGGTTTTAGTCAATCGCCAAGTTACAGCGGGAGCTTGAGAATACGATCCGCGATCTTGATGCTAGCAAGGCGGCGCTGGTGGAGAAGGATCGTATCATCAAGATGCGCGATTCGCTACTTGAGTCGCATGCCCTTGAGAGTCGCAAACTTGCAGAGTTACTCGACAAGGAGCGCATTGCCCACCGCAACACAAAATCGCAGTACGACACGTTCCAAAAGTCTCATCAACACCTTACCCGTACTGCAAGCAGTCAGGATGTTCGCATCGCTGAGCTCGAGACGAACAAGAGTCAAGACCGCAGAAGGATCGCACAGCTTGAACAGTCGATGCGCGATCAGCTACAAGAGCGCAATGAGTTACTGTTGCAGCTTTGGCACAAGCTCAGTAAATTGTGCGGAAGGGAATGGGTCCACGGCAACTCTCTCATCGACCGCCAAGTCCTCCCGTCAATCGAAGTCATCGCCAACCGCCTCCCCAGCTTCACCAAGAACCTGATGGCCGCCGTCAAAGCCATCGAGAACATGATCGGCTCCTTCGAGGTGCGCATCAAATCCGTCGAGCGCGACCTCCACAGGGAGTATCAGACCCTCGAGTCCAACCTCGAAGTGCGCACCAAGAAACTGGACCGTCTCGAGACCATGGTTAGAAACTCGGTCGCTTCAGGATCTCTAAGCCACGACGCGCGGTACTCTCGTCTCGAAGAGGCATACCGCCAGCTGAAAGTCGAAAACGCCACGCTCCGCACCGCAAACGACGTGCGTGCGAGGGCTTCATACTCTAGCACCGAATTAGTTCCTCACTCACCCTCGCCATCTGTCCCGCGCGGTCCTAACGATCAGCGCACAAGCCGTTCAAAATCCCGCTCTACCGTTACGCGCGCACACACCACCACCGCACTACCAGGTTCTTCAGCGGGAGGTTTAGGACTCCGCGACATGGCTGCGCTAAGTGAAGAGAACAACGGCGCCGCGAACGATAACAGGTGGTTGTTTAGACTGCGGGACATGGAGTATAAGCTCAAGATGGAGCGGGAGGGTCGGAACCAGGATAGACATGCTGCGAGGCAGAGACTGGGGGGGTTGGAGATGGAGAATAGGGATTTGAAGGAGAGGATGAAGAGGGCGCTGGGGGACCTGGATTAAAAAAAGCACGGAGTTGATGGTAGGGATGAAGGGAAAGGGTGGTTAATTATTAGCATAGATGGGAGCTAGGTGTTGATTACATGTGTATAACTGGACTGCATAGCTTGAGTACAGGTATTCTTTTTTTGTTGGTGTTGGGGAATATATTTGGGTATTATGATCATTGATGCTGAACTGAAGTGATGATGATTTTCGTTACTGGTTGAGTGAGGTGTGCTGTAGTGGAGCATCAGCAATTGAGTTAACGGGGGATACTTGTGAGAGGAACGAAGGACCTTTTATTTAAGTGATGAAGAGCTAGGTAAATTTAGGTAAGTTTAGGTAAACTTAGGTAAGTATTGCTAAAACTTGAGACCAGCCTGTTTGGAATCAGATTTAATGTCAAAAGTCTTCTCAATCCCTGAGGGCAAATCACCGTAAGCTAGGAGTGACGTGCTTTGGGGACCGCGATGCAAGTGATGGGAATAGTTATGTAAATTAGACAGTTCGGCAGAGTTTTAGGTCCCTTGGGTCTCTGAACTGTGGTATTTTCCCTGTAAATGGTAACTGTATTGTTTTATGTTGAAGAAAGTTAAATGTCGTGATCATGAGCACCCCACATGGAACAAGGTTCTTATTCCCCGAAGCTGGGGAAGCATTTCTTGCTTTTCGAGTTGAGATGCGGAATGTCCGAATGGAGTAAGACCGCGTTCTCCTCAATTCAATATAAGATCCAACACCATTATCCCTTCACATTCTATATCGTCCTCTATCTCATTACCGCCGTCTCATCACTCTCATACTATCGTCTACATTCTTTCCATCAAATTCGGGCATCTTGTCAAAATGCTCCGCGCATCCCTCGCCAAGGCCTCCCCCCCTGTCCTCCGCCGCTGCATGACATCGCTAGCCTCCGCCAAAAAAGAAGGCGACATCTCGGATGCATTTACTTCGCTGTCCGGGGCCCAGCGCGAGCCTTTACCCGATCGATATCGTCAGCTGAAACTTGCACTCCTACAAGGTCGAGAAGATAAGATTGTGCAATCGTGGAAGAAGCTGCTGAGTGAGTTGAAGCGGGAGAATGAGATTGTTGCACAGAAGGGACCGGGGGTTATACCACAGATTGAGTTTAAGGACCTTGAGAGGAGTAGTGATGCGCTGAGGGAAGAGGTCAAGAAGAGGGGGGTTGTTGTGGTGAGGGGTGTTGTTCCGGAGGGTGAGGCGAGGGCGTATAAGGCTGAGGTGGAGGAGTATGTTGCGAGGAATCCATCTACACGAGGTATCTACCCCTACACTCTGGTCAATTGACTTACACTAACAATTACAGCATTTCCACCTCATGATCCTCAAGTCTACGAATTATACTGGTCACCACCCCAACTAAAAGCCCGCTCACACCCAAACTTCCTCTCCGTCCAGCAAAACCTCATGTCCCTCTGGCACACCACATCCCAAACGGCAATCTCCATCTCCCAACCCTTCAGCTACGCCGACCGCCTACGTATCCGCCAACCCGGCGATGCTAGTTTCGCTCTCGGGCCACACATCGACGGCGGAAGTGTAGAGCGCTGGGAACCAGAAGGGTACGGCGCAGGACACGTGTACGACGCCATCCTCCAGGGAAATTGGGAGGCCTACGACCCCTGGAACGCAAGCGGCCGTGTCGACGCTGTGAATAATCGGTATGATGGATTAGGTGCGTGCTCGATGTTTAGGATGTGGCAGGGGTGGATGAGCATGAGTCGTACGAAGCCTGGGGAGGGAACATTGTTGGTTAATCCGCTGGTGAAGCTATCTATGGCGTATGTGCTGCTAAGGCCGTTTTTCAAGGCGAGGAGTGAGAGGGTGGGGGAGGGATACTTGGAGGAGGGAAATTGGGAGTTGATGGGGGATGTCGATAGTGAGTTGCAGGGTGCGACGCCGGGGACGGGACAGGAGTTGACGGGGGAGTTGCATCCGCATTTGGAGCTTGAGAGGACGATGGTGCACGTTCCTGAGATTCGACCTGGAGATTTCGTAGCATGGCACTGCGACAGTAAGTCCCCTCCCCATCACTGTCCAACCCCAATTTACTGACCAACGCAGCAATACACTCAGTCGACAAAGTCCACGCCGGCAAAGCAGACTCGTCAGTGCTGTACATCCCCATCTGTCCGATCACGGCGCAGAACGCAGAGTACATGGTCCGTCAGCGCGAGGCTTTCCTCCGTGGCACGCCGGGACCGGACTTCCCTGGCGGTGCGGGGGAGGCCGGGCATGTGGGGCGGGGCACGGAGGAGATGCTTGATGGAGCGGCTCGTCGGGCGATGGGCCTGAGTGCGCTGATGACGGAGGGGGAGGAGGATGTTGTTAGGGAGGCGAATCGGATCCTTGGGTTTTAGGTGATGGCCTCAATCATGATTTCGTCCGTCACGGTGGAATCTGTCCTTTCGTCTGTCGCGCTTATTTCCTGCTGTCATATTTGCCGGTTATTTCTGTCACATTGCCTGTCAATTCTTTGGTTCTCCGTGTCTTGTTGACCAGGTAGTTTGTAATCAAAACTTTGGTTTGTAAGCCAGTTTCATGAATCGTGCGATATTCCCACCCGTTTAGAACACTTGTTCAACGCACGTCCAACGAAAGAACCCGTGTCTCTTATCCCGCACGGATGTCGGACAGCGATGATCCGGAGACGTTTAGCGGTACTGCCAGTCTCCGCAATGGTCTCAATGGTCCCTGATGGATCCATTACTAATCGAGGAAGCATCTAGAGTCTTCAGCCGGGTCGATCTGAGGGGGTGAAACTGGATAGGTCCATTAGTAAAGCAAGCGGTGTAGACAGTGGAGAAGGATTGAGGTTCTCTTGAAACGGGGAGAGGAAGAGATATATATACCCCGTAGACATCGCCTCTCGGATTGTTCGGACAGACAAGCTTCATCACGCAATACAATACTATACCCAATTCACTCTCCATCACTACCTTCAAGGTTTCACTGCCCATCATGAGCTACACACTCTACGACGCCGCCATCCTCCACACCAAGGAAGCCCTCAACTCCCTATCCTCCATCCTCAAGAAAGCCGAATCCCACGCCAACGCCGCGTCCTTCCCCACCGCCAAACTGGCCCCTGACATGCTGGACCTGAGCTTCCAGGTCTTCTTCACCACCGACACAGCGCAAAAGATTGTCGCGCGCACAACCGGCACCGAGCCGTTGACTCTGTCCCGCGACGAGTGCACTACATTTGAGCAGTTCCACAAGAGAATCGCACAGGTTCTTGAGGTTGTGGAGAAGGCGGATCGGGAACTTGTTGAGAAGCGTGGTGCGGAGGTTGTTACTATTGGACTTGGACCGGGGAAGAGTGCGGATATGAAGGTTAGGGATTATGTGCAGGGATATGGAATTCCTAATGTTTTCTTTCACTTGACGACTGCGTATGCGATTTTGAGAAAGGAGGGTGTTGAATTGGGGAAGCAGGATTATATCGGTGCTTTCATGAACCAGTACTTTTAAGGTTTGATAGAGGTTTAGATGGTGGATTGGGATTAATAAAAGTGCTTTGACGTTGACTGAGGTTAAATCAATAAGAATGAAGCATCTATTGAGACTGACCGAGATCTAAGTACTTGTATTATCCGACTTGAGGAAAAGTTTGTACAGAACTTGGCATTTGATGAGTAATTCCAAGTTCTTTGATGTTATCATGTTCTGAACTTTGAGCGTTGAAGGGTGCTTGATTGGATCAAACTAAGTTCAGGGTAGCTGTAGCTGTAGCTGAAGGTGTCAAGCTGTCACACAAGATCAGATCCATTTGTCATCCTTGCTCGCCCCTCCATTTCCCGCCACTAACGCCGCCACTCCAACATCTCCATCTCCATCTTGAGTTCAGCATCTTCAATTACCCATCCCATCTCCCTCACCAAAATGGCTGCACACTGGTGGCTCCTCCGCGCAATCCAATCCTTCGAAGTCCGTCCCCTTGTCTTCCCGTACCCTTGTTTCAATCACTAACAAACTCTAGGATCACATCGTCGCATCCGTACGCCTCCCGTCCCCAATATCCACCCCAACCTAACATATCCCAGATCCTCCGCCAACCGGGTTTCCACCGCGCAGTAACACGCATCCACAAGACCATCCACGAGAAGCAACACGGACGAAATCCTCACGAGCCTTTGGCACCGGGCGAAGCGACGGCTGATCCGAATGCTGCTGGGAAGAATTCAGAGTTTGCGAAGCATTTTTTGGATGAGATTAAGAATCAGTTTAGGGGGAAGCCGACGGATATAACGAGGAAGTGAAAGAGATGGATTGATGATTTTATGATACCCTGGTTTACTGATGATTGATGATGGTGGGAGGTATAAGAGGTGGATTGAAGATGGAGAATGGGACAAGCGATTACTATCGAGTCGTGCGATGCGAACCTCGAATGCTATAACCATGCGGATGTCGCGGGCTCTGAAATGGTCAAAGAGGAGATGGACGGTATCTATTGAGGACGACTAAGTCGCCGGTTGAACCGAGAAGACGACGCTCTCCTTGATCCTCCAAGCCATTCGCCCCAGCACGACGATCTACGACCGACACGACGCAGGACTCCGAGTATTTCACCCATGAAGCTTTATCTGTCAGCGCCGTTAGCGAGATCGTTTGGAAACAAGATGGTCGCTTTACTGTACATTACCGCGCCTACGGGCTGCCAATCATACCGATTACCCCTCCATGTCTATTCCTTCATTGCTGAACCGTCTATTATTGCAAAAGCAATGTCCATCCTACAGCGCAGGCAGACAGCACGCCACCATGTTTATATCTTTTCCGATCAACGCCGATAACTGCCCCCATTTGTTCAAGTTAACCCTGTGTCGTTTCGATCGACCGAGTTTTGGTGTAGTGTGCTGGGTATGTGTACTCGTAGTGTCGTCGAGAAGAGCGACGATCTCAATGCTGGTATCTTTCGATGATGGTTTCCACATGGTGACTGATGTTTGAGAGCGAAAGACATTCCAAACCAGTAGCAAAGCCAGTTTTATAGCCCAAGCATTTGTCGCTGACCGTGAGCTTCTGTCATCTCACGCGTGGTCATCGTCTTACCAAAACTCTGGAAATAGCCGCGCCAAGTATCACCACCAAAGTAAGTTTTAGCCGTTCACCAACGGGCGCACGACACCAACTCACCAACCAGCCATCAAGAATCACCGGCAGTCATCAGAGACGTAGCTGACTGAGCTGTCCATCTCACGACAGCGTAGCATACTGCCCCCAATCAACCCAATTCATCGGCAGCCCAATATCCAGATTCGCCTCCAGTGCATCCTCCACAGCCCCCAGGTTAAAACTCGGATCAATAGCCCCAAACACATCCGCCCCCGAGATCGCATCAATCAGCGAAAAGTCGACCGCCTGCTCCACGCTCGGCACAGCATTAACCATGCTCGGATTCGTCACAGCCACAGTATTCACAACCGCCGGCGCAGGCGGCGGTGATTCCCGCGTGAGCGTGTTAGCAGCGCGCTCCATCTCCTTGAGCACGCGCTCGCCCAACCCGGCTACAACATTTGCGCTCCAGAAGTAGTCGCCGAATCTGCGGAGCATCTCGCAGTTGCGACGGAACGCGTGCATGGCGCGCGAGCGGAACATGGGCAGGCGGGAGTGGCGCATTTTGCGGTACTCTACGCTTAGGGCGAGACAGACTGCGTAGGGGACGAAGGGCATGGGGGAGAGGTGGTCGCGCAGGACGGCGCAGGCGATGCGTTCTGCTGCGAGGGAGCGACGGGCGTTGGCGGAGGGGGGAGGGAGGGTAGATGCTGCTGTTAGTGTGCCTGGGCGTGGGAGACGGCATGATAGGATGATGACGGCGTGGTAGAATGTTTCAATCGTTGCTGTGATTGTTAGACATGTATTTGAGTGAATGGGAGACTTACCAATTAGTGAACCTGGTACTTTGAGGGCATCGGCGTTGACGATCATGGCCTCCAGAACAGGAAGATCGATATAAGCAATCTTGTCCAACCCACTCGCTTCAGCACTCGGTCCTGGGCGATACAGCTCAATAACCTGATCCAACCACTGCACCACGCTCAGAAACAGCCTAAAGCATGGTGGTCTCTTTCTAATACACCCATCCAGATTCGCGCCTATATCCCTCTCATGCATAAGACACGGGCGTCCATACACAGCCGCATTAATCCGATCAACCGCCCAAACCGCACAAAACAGCGTTTCTAGCTCTTCAGAGTTGGGCCCGTCATATCTCAGCAGGTGAAGACCCAGGGTTTGGATGTGGTGAATAGCGCGGCCGCCCAGTTGTGCTGGGAGGTCTGCTTCTTCTGAGGAGTTGGGCTGTGTGTACAGAGACAGAAGGATGAGGGCGCGGATGTGAAGGACTCTGTCGGTGATGATGCTTGTTTCGAGGATGGCGCGGACGGCGGAGGAGAGGGATTGCATAAAGTCTTGGCAGGGCAGGAGATCATCGCCTTTGTTCTGAAGATGGAGATACAGCGCCATGCTTGGGTCTGTAGAAGCAGCGAGACAGATGAGTTGCTTTAGCACGACACTCGCTGGTTCATCGCCCTCCAGCGCAGACTCCGGTATAATCGGCATGACGGGGTGGATTTTCTCCAGATACAGCGCTTTTAATTTGAGATAGTCTTGCTGTGGCGGAAGACACGACAAACAGTGCTCTTTGACAAACGGTAGTAAGAACTGGTCCATTATCGGCGGTGGCCGAGAAGTGATGAATTGACTTGCTTGACCGGGATTATTCGACGAAAGCCATATTCCTACGTCGCCCTTCTGTGAAGTCTCGCGGATAGATGCTGAGCCCGTGGCTTCCATGAACATGCCCTCTGGATTGAGATCGCCCACGAAGCGGGATGATTGATTGGGCGTGCTGCCAGATTCACGCCTTGGAGTCGGCGCAGCGGGACTTGCGTTTGCGGTTGAGTTTGCATATTGGAGCGATGAGTCTGGGAGAGCAGTTCTTTGTGTTGGTAAAGGTAATGATCTGGTGGTGTTAATTGAGAGAGGGCAGTGGTGGTGGGGTACTCACGTTGACCGGGATGTCTCATCTTCTTCCACGGGAGGCGAGGTCTCATCGACTGCATCTTCAGCATGGACGCAGCGCCTCTACTCAATCAGCTCCCCACTCTCACTCTCAATTATTTTTGGGGGAAGTGCTCACCTTTTTCTTGCGACATGAAGCGCATGCGTGCTGGACTTGTTTGCGCTTTACGGGGAGACCACCGCGCGAAGGGTCTGAGGCGACGAATTTGACATGTTTTGAAGGAGTGGGCATTATGATGGCATGTGAGTGAGTAAGTGAGGTGAGTAAGAGGATTAGATCCAAGTTAGCGGATCAAGGTGAAGGACGCGTTTGGTTGTCGGTGAGGAATGTGAAGGGGATTAGTCAGCTCGGTAAGATTTGGTTGGAGGACAACACCATAAGTTGGGTATCACGAGATTTTGGATGGGGTGGTTTGTGTAGCAAAAACATCTTGGAGTGTATTAGTGAGAATGCGATAGCTATACTGGAGGATGTGAAATATAGCCAATCAGTAGAAGGAGGTCTGTGACCCGAAAGTATGGGTAAGCGCCTAGAATGAAATTGCGACGGAACTGTAATCGCAATTTGGGAATGGCTTCAATTGTTATGCCATTTACGGAGGAAGGGATGGATCTTGGCTGTCAGATCGACCGGGTGCGGTTCCTCCCGAATCAAGACACCCTCACAATCACTAACCTCGATCACAATAACATCTCGATAATTGCAATTCAATATGCAACAACGATTCAATAAAAACAATACATCATCGTCTCACAACATCACCCGTTGCCCCTTCAATCACCCCCGAAATCTCCAGTGGACCCTCCCCAAACAAAACAAGCACCGTGAATGCGCAGGCCCAAAAACACGACCGCTGCCACCAAAAAACATGGCCTGAATTCACGGCCCCATAACAATTTTCCAGTGGCCGTTTTGCGAGACCCTGCATGTAGTGAAACCCATTGGTTCTCGTTCGCAGTGAGTAACTGCGCTAGGCTGGATGGGGGAAAAGGTAAACATTATGCCTGGAGGTCGTGTGAATGATGGCCTGGGGGATGTTTTTGTTATGCTGAGTTGTGTTTTTTTAAAGGCGAGGGGTTCGCTGTTTTGTTGATCTGTTGTTTTATTCATCGCTTGTTTAGCTATTGAACTTGTTCTATTCATATTTATGGTGGTCGCTTTACCATATGAGTCTTTGTAAACTGCATTACGGAGTACGCCTCATTCAATTGACATACTCATCATGGACGACATTCATCTCCCCATCGCAATAAGACGCTCCCGTCGCAGCAGCATCAAGCCAGAGCCAGACATGCCCTCATCCCCAATGCCCTCCAAGACCCCCAAACGCTCACGACGAGTCCGTTTCTCCGACCCAGGCGCCTCTTCATCTGGATTAACCCCCATGGTCAATCGCTTCACCGTCGCAACACCCAAACGCCGTCGCCACTCATCCCTCCCTGCCCAAACAACCCCAAGCACAATCCGCTCAAGTCCTGCACTACCTGAAAGCGGTGAAGTCACATTTCTACCACTGCGACAAGTCCTCGACGGTCGCGTGCAGCGAAGAATTCGTCGCAATGGTCTGAGCGAGGAGATGAACACGATTCAACAGGAAAAGCGCCGTCGGAACCAAGAAGCAAGGGACGAAATTGAGAAGTTGAGAAATGAACTAAAAGCGCGTGATCGCGAGATTTACGAATTGCAGAATGCGACTATTGTTATCGACACAGATCGCATTTGGGATCTTGAGAAGCAGATCCAAGATCTTCAAGATGAGCTGTCCAAGAGATCTGGGCGCGCTATGGATCAGAGCAGAGGGTATAACTGGACTCTTGCGGCAAGGGAGAAGTTTTCGCAGGATTTCATGGACATGACGCCCGATGAGGACCAGTTTGGGGATGAGACTATGGCGCAGTTTATTTGTAGTACGCCTTCGAGGGCGCGGACGTCGTTTATGACGCCGCCTGCTACGAGTCCTACTGTACCTGGGACGCCAATCTTTGAACCGATGGATACAACGGCTACGGTTGGTGTTCAGGCTTGTTTGCCGGATCCGAAGCAGTTGCAGTTGGAGGAGGAAATGTCGTCGCTTCAATTGGAGGTTGCGAAGTTGACGGATACTCTTGAATCTTACAAGACTCTTAGTGGACGCTTGAGCGACAAGTTGTCGGACTACACACCCCGAGATCAATCAGGTCTTGAGGCACAGATTGACGCTATGCTGCAAGCGATGTCCGACAGAACATGTGCTCTTCAAACCCTCACATCCTCCATCACAAAACTCGGCTTCACCGGCTCCGACGCCAGCGAGATGATAACAACCCTCATCACCAACTTCCGCGCCGCCCGCCTAGAGCTCGAGTACCTTACCCCCGGCGAAATCACCCTCCCACTATCATCCCACGGCGCAGAAGTCCTAGATCTCATGCTCACGCGCTTACGCGACATGGCGAAGCGCGCAAAGGAAGACGAGGATGCTATAGATGAGTATCACGAGATCGAGCTCTCCCTCCGTAAGCAACTTGATGCAAGAGTTACAGTCATGGACGGGCTGAAAGCAGAGATGGGAAAGGCTGAGAAACTTATCAGCGATAAGATTGCGAGGATTAGGGAGCTTGAGGTTGCGAATCAGAGGCTTAAGGGCGCTGTGGATGGGTATATCCGCGATATCTCGGAGCTGGAAGATTTGGTTCAGCGGATGGAGCGTGAAGGTCATGATGCAAAGGATGAGTATGCTGTGCAGTTGGAAGTCAAGCACAAGATCCTTACGCGCAAAGAAGACACCATCGCATCCCTCGAAGCCAAACTCTCATCCGCCCTTACCCGCTCCTCGGATCTACAATCCCAAATCCAGACTCTGCAAACCAGCCACACCGGGACCATCACAACACTTAACAAAAAGCACGGCTCAGCACTTGCAGCGCGGGACGCAAGCGTCCTCAAATACCGAAGTGAGATCGACAAGTTGAATGAATCTCTACGCTCAGCACATGATAAAATCTGCGGCTTACGCGTCGAAAACGGTGGTCTGAGGAGAGAAGTTGATGAGGAGAGGGTTAAAGCGAAGGAGGTTATTGATGCGATGAAGGAGGAGTTGGAGAGGGTGGTAAAGATGAGTCAGGAGTTTTTGACGCCGCGAAAGGAAGAGTCAGAGTCAAATGTAAAGGAGCAGGGGGTTAGGAGGGTGAGTAAGAGGTTGAGGGGGAGGGATAGTGGGATGGGGTTGTTGGATGAGGAGGAGGAGGAGTTCTTTTAGGGGACAGGACATTCATTGCATTTTCCTTTGTTAGCATACTATTATTTAATTCATATTCATATTGAGAGTGAGGTTGGGTGAGTGGTCATGATGACTTGCCTTTCTGAGTAAGTACCGATTCGATAGCCGATGAATACCGATCCCCACACCAACCAATCTAATCAATCACTCGTAAATTTCATTTTTCTTAGTTACTCACTCGGAATTACCGTCCGAGTTCGGCCGTTCGAAACCGCTTATCAAGATGCAATCTCATCAATAATCTCGCATCCATCCCCATTCTACCTTCACCCACTAACACATATACCCTCACTCACTACCATATAATATCATAATGACAATACTCATCCTCCGTCCCGCATTCAAACATCCCCTGCGCCACATCCAACGGCGCTTCCAATCCTCACCCCCTAAAAAAGACCCGGTCCCTGTACCCGCCACCGTCGCTCCGCTTCCGTTATGGCAGCGCCTGGGTCCTTTGACAACGGCTGTGCAGGCTTATGCGCGTGCGCAGAATAAGAGTCCGTATAAAACGCAGGTTGCTACTGCGGTGGTTATTTACATAGCTGGGGATTTGAGTGCGCAGTATGTTGGTGGGAATGAGTATGATCCTGTTAGGACGTTGAGGAATGCGGTTATTGGGTGTGTTGCTGCTATACCGAATTATAAGTGGTGAGCGTCCCTTTTTCTTACATAGTTTCAGTGAGAGTATGAGCGAGGATGGACTTGAGTCAAAGAGTGAGATTGGGTTGATATTGGGATTTTCTAACAGTGACAGGTTCATGTTCCTCTCCCACAACTTCAACTACTCCTCCCGCCTCCTCTCCCTCGCCACAAAAGTAACAGTCGGCCAAGCCGTCTTCACCCCAATCTTCAACACATATTTCTTCGGCGCCCAAGCCTTACTGTCAGGCTGTGACATCCCGGGCACAATCGAGCGCGTCAAAGATACCGTGCCAACCAGTATTATTAATTCCTGCAAATTATGGCCCATGGTCACGGCGTTTAGCTTCTCGTTTCTTTCGATTGGCTGGAGGCCTTTGTTTCATGGTGTTGTGGCGGTGGGGTGGCAGACGTATTTGAGCTTTTTGAATAGGATGGCGGAGGTTAAGGAGAGGGAGAGGCATGAGAGGGAGGGGATGATGGATGTTGGGGGG